TCAGCTCTGCAATGACTGACTTGATCTTGGCGAGATAAGCTATCATGGAGGGCTCTTTGGCCTCGTAGCTGCCACTGATCTGATATGCAACTAGCTGAGAGTCTGTTTCAGGCAGACATGATCAGCTTCCAGGGAGATGCACAATTCTAGGCCAACGATTGCTGCCTCATATTCGGCTTCGTTATACGAGGCCTTAAAAGAAAATTTTAGTGCATACTCAAAGGATTTGCCTTCGGGAGAAGTTATCACTACTCCTGCCCCCGAACCGTTTTCGGTGGAAGATCCATCCGTAAACACGGTCCAGACTTTCTTTTCATTGTCTAGCGCTTCTTGGTATGAGCATTCGGCCAAGAAATCCGCTAGAGCTTGAGCCTTAATGGCAGCCCTCGGACGGTAGCTGATGCTGAATTCGGTAAGCTCAAAAGCCCACTTGGCTAGCCTACCAGATTTTTCAACCTTGCCGAGAACTTTTTCCAACGGCTGATCAGTTAAGACCACTATCTGATGGCAATCAAAATAGGGTCTCAGCTTCCGAGCAGCTACTACTACCGCGAAAGCGACTTTCTCGAGTAGAGGGTAGCGAGTCTCGGCATCCGTCAGTGTATGACTGACGAAGTAGATCGGTTGTCGACTTTTACTTTCTTCCTTCAGCAATACTGCGCTGATGGTGGCTGGGCTAACGGCCACATACAGGTACAAAGTTTCTCCTTCAGCTGGGCTAGCCAGCGTTGGGAGTTGAGCCAGATGCTCCCGAAGCTGTTTAAAGGCGTCTTTTTGCTCTTCCTCCCAAACAAGCTCTTTTGTTTTCGGGAGTTTCAGGGCTTTGAAGAAAGGTAACCCCTTATCCGAAGCTCTGGAAATGAACCTCGAGAGGGCTGCCATTCTTCCGGTGAGCCGCTGAACATCCCGCTTCGTTTTCGGCTCAGGAAGGTCGAGCGCCGCTTTGACTTTGGAGGGATTGGCATCAATCCCCCTTTTGCTGACCATGAACCCAAGGAATTTCCCTGACTTCACGCCGAAGACACACTTCTTCGGATTCAGCTTCATTTGATGCTTTCTCAAGGTGGCGAAAGTTTCAGCCAGGTCCTTTACATGGTCCTCAAGTTTTTTGCTCTTGACGATCGAATCGTCGACATAGACTTCCATGTTTCGGCCCTTTTGATCGGAAAAAACTTGATCCACCAGCCTTTGATAGGTTGCCCCCGCATTTTTCAATCCGAAGGGCATCATTTTGTAATTGTACACCCCAGCGTTCGTGACGAATGCTGTCTTTGCTCGATCGTCGGGGTGCATGAAGATCTGATGATACCCTGAGAATGCGTCCATGAAACTAAGCAAGGCATGGCCACTTGTCGAATCGACTAGCTGATCGATCCTCGGCAAGGGATAGAAATCCTTCGGACAAGCCTTATTTAGGTCCGTGAAGTCAACGCACATCCTCTAGGTACCATTGGGCTTCTGAACCATCACCACATTTGCCAGCCATTCTGGATATTGGCAAGGTTCGATGAACCCTGCCTCCAGCAATTTTTTGACCTCGGCTGCGATGTCTCGGTTCTTATTAGCGGAATAATTCCGCTTCTTTTGCTTAACTGGTCGACACGTTGGGTCAACATTAAGCTTATGGGAGATGAGGTCTGAACTTATCCCGGGCATATCAGCTGCCGAGAAAGCAAACACATCTCTGTTGTCCCGAAGGAGCTGAATAAGTTCACAACGGGTGTTTGGATCAAGGTCCATCCCGATTGTTACACATTTCTCAATGTCTCCTTCGGCCAACTCAACTGTTTCAGTCTGCTGGTCCATGTCCATTGCTGATGGACTGGACTCTTCATAATCTGGCCTGCTGCCAATGTCAGCAGGTGTCCCAGTCTTTTTGTTCTTCGGCTGGCTCTTTGAGTCTTGCGGCTCAGCTGAAGAGCTAGCCTTTTCCCTTTCGGGCCCTTTACCTCTGGGTACAGATCCTTGGGCCGAAGCACTTAGGCCTTTCGGTTTTTTTGTGCTTGGCTCTCTTTCTTTTTCTTTCTCCTCATCCTTGTCGTCATCTGGGCGACTACTGGATGGCTTGAGGTAGTTGCACCTTCGGGCGTCCTTCTGGTTGCCATGTATCCTTTCGGGGAAGCCGGCGTCTGAGACATAAATCATCAGCTGATGATAAGTTGAGACGACCCCTTGGATCTCATGAATTATGGGTCTCCCCAAAATCACGTTGTACACTGAAGGAGCGTCAATGACCAAAAATTCAATCATGACGTTTCTGGCTGCCTCATCGCAGCCAATGGTGACAGGAAGTGTCACCTTCCCATCTGGATAAGTTGAAGCCCCGTTGAACCCGGATACCGGGTAGGGTACCGGCGTAAGGTGCTTGGGCTTCAGCTTGATTTGATTGTAGGCCCTTCGGAACAGAATGTTTGCTCCGCTGCCACCGTCAACAAGGACCTTACTGACGTCGTGGTTGGCCACCGTGGCGATGATCACCAACGGATCCTCGTGAGGGAACGCTATCCCCCGGCAGTCGGCGGTTGTGAACGTCATGTTCGGCACCGGCGACTGGGGAGATTGAATGTCAGCGTTGTTCACCTGGTGAGTCAAAGCTCTAAGGTGTCGCTTGTGTTCCCTCCGAGAATATATTCCTCCCGAGATAACATTGATCGGAGGGAATTTCCCCTCCGGCTTTTTACTGTTCTTCCGGGGGAAGTCGAGGTCTTGCCGAGAGTCCTTTGCTGACTTCTCGGATTCTTTTTTCTCGCGGTGATCCGCGATGTATTTTTTCAAGTATCCCTTCCGGACCATGTCCTCTATCTGGTCCTTCAGTTGGATACACTCCTCAGTGTTGTGTCCCGAAGACTCGTGGAACTCGCACCACTGATTTTTATTTTTTCGCTGATACCACTCTGGGAGTGGTCTCGGCTTTTGGTAACTCTGCTCCTCCTTCGTCACGCTGTAAATTTTGGCGCGTGGAAGAGAGAGCGGAGTGTAGGACTCGTATCTGCCTGTGTATGAGGCAGATCTTTCCTTCTTTGGGTCGCTGGCCGAAGATTGCTCCAAGGCCTTTGACTTTCCCTTTGCCTTATGGCCTTGGCCTTCAGACAAGGGTATTTGTCTTTGTTTCCCTCCCCTAAATTGAGGTTGGGTTTTCGCTTTGTTCCATTCTTCGGCTCGGATGAACTTATCCGAGGCATTCAGAGCCTCCTCCAAGGTCTGCGGGGTATGCATGACCATGAAGTCTAGGAACTTTCCGGGCTGAAGGCCATTCTGCATCGCAAAAACGGCTAGACCCTGGTCCAGCTGAGAGACGCTGGATGACTCGTTACTGAAACGGGTCAGATAGTCTCGGAGGCTTTCGGTTTCCCCCTGTTGCAGACTCATGAGTTCTGCAGTAGTCTTCTCTCGGCGGTTTGCCGTGGAAAACTTGCTCCTAAATTTGGAGGACAGATCATCCCACCCTGTTATGGAGCCCTGCTTTACTCCCTTGGAGATCCACGCTTGCGCGACCCCCTTGAGAGTGGTTGGGAAATATTTGCACCAAGTCGCTTCGGATCTGGGGCAAAGATGCATATGGGTCTCATACGAGGCCACGTGATCCTTCGGATCCGAGGTCCCGTCATATGTGATGTGCGACGGTATTTTAACCGTGGGCACGCGCTCTTCCAGTATCCATTGCTCGAATGGTGAACTGGCGGGAAGCATAACGGCCTTGCCCTTGTTCCTGGCCGAAGGGACCGCGCTCCGCCCTCTTAGAGAGGTAGGAGTGGTTTTCGTCCCTGGCTGGGAAGTCTGGGCCTCGGCTGCAGGGAACGAGAGGCGACTGCGCACGCTCGGTTCCTTGCCGCCGAGTCGGTCGAGGACGCTTCGGCGAACAGTCTCAGGTTCTCGGTGAGTAGATTCTGGCCGAGAAGCTGAGCTGCTGCTCTTATGCGTTTCTGGTGGGGAGGTTGAGGATCCTTTGAAAAATTGAGGGTTCTTTTTCCTCTCTTTTTCGGTTTTCCAGGTATCCTCTTCCCACTCTTCCAGTTCCCGGAAGGAAGGAAGCTTCCCACCATCATGGTCTAGCTTCCTCCGTTGATGCCGGGTATGCGGAGTAGTTCGACCACGAGGTGGTGGCATATTTTGTGCCCTCATTGCCTCCATGAGCACTGCCAGCGCTCTTGCCACCTCCTCCGAGCTGGGCCCCGTCAAAGGGGTCCTCGGCCGAGTATGGGAATGAGAGCGCACAGTCGATGGTTGGCTTTGGGGCACTGAATGTGTCCTATGATCGGACTCACCCCTGCTAGACCGAGAGTGACTCGGCCTATGATGAGAGTTATGAATTACGGGAGAAAGGGAATCCTCCCTGTATAATCCTCCCCCCGAGCTGGCACCCATGGGAGAGTTCCGGTCCGGCGAGGGTGATGGTGTAGGAGTCTTAGGCTTTTCGCCTGTTCCTTGACGGAGGCCTTTGTTCTTGCGGCTCTTAGCCATTGCTACTAAGATAATTGCAAGATGATCTTGATTAGAAATTTGGCTTAAAGATTTTTGAAAGTCTTCCCCACAGACGGCGCCAAATTGTTTCGGGTGAAAACAATGGGACCTTGCCGAAGGTCCGCTGAAACGGAGAAGACTGGATTCGGTCCAAGTTATGTTGGGCCGAAGGTTTCCTGCACAATAAACACACGTAAACTAGCCTCGGGGTTGTTGCCGAGGAAGGCCCCTCCGATGCTAAAGTCAGTACAATGTGTGAAAAGAGAACACTATGCAAGAGAATTAATTGCTTGAGGCTTTGCTTGAATATCTCAGAATATGTAAATTTGTGAATGAATGAATCTCCATGAATGTATGAATATTGACGGCTTTTATACCTCTTCATAAATGGGGAGGTTGGGCCTTAGCCCAATTGGCTTGCTTTGTGGGCTGACCTTTGACTTTAGCACAATTGGAGAGTTGAACCTTGACCTTGGGCTTTTAATTGGATCATTTAATGCCTAGGCCCAATTGGACTAAATTGGACCCAAACAATAATTAATTTGTGAAAGAAAGGTTTTGGATTTGAATTGTAAAGGAGAGATAACGAGTGTGGTTGAAGAAGAGTAAGCAATTGACACCGCCATTTCGCCGATCCCAATTCGCCGATTTTGTTTAGTTGTTAATACGATCAATCAATATAACATAATATTAAAACATACACCATGAATTGACATGTGTCAATTCATGGTGTAGTTTATTTTCCTCTAAAAACACCTCTTCTTTTTTATGCGAAAATTATTTAACATAATCATTTAACATAACTATCCTAAAGAAGCCGGGAAAAACTTCTTTCACAATTTTAGTATAATATAACTATCATAATACTATTCTAAATCTTTTATACTTATCTTTTATGATAAATATATTCCTATATAGCTATTACTCCGTTTCTCATATCTTTTAATAATAGGATAATACATCATAATAAATATTACTTTGTACTAACATTTCTTTAATACATCATATTTCATTCATTCAAATGTTTAATATATTTTAAATAAGGCAATTTTGTAACAATATTTAATATGATGAATCTATTAAATAGTAGATTCGTACCACACAAATTATTATTATTATTATTATTATTATTATTATTATTATTATTATTATTATTATTATTATTATTATTATTATTATTATTATTATTATTTGTTGTTGTTGTTAGCGGCGGCTCCGGCGACTGTGGCTGCGGCGGCGACTGTTGTTGTTGTCGCCGTTGTTACTGTCGTTGTCGTTATTGTTATGGTTATTGTTATTATTATTATTATTTTAATACTTTAATTGTTTTCTTGCCTAATTCTAATACGAATAACATAACATAATGAAGGAAGTTTAACAACATAGCGTAATAATATAAACACTTTATCTGCATGTAATCATGTAAAAAAATTGGTTAATTATAATTTCATTCTTTTTAATTTGTATCTTTCATATGTTGTCATATTTTAATAAAATTGTTTAAATATCATTAGATTGGGGTTAATATTCGGGATTTGTTAAACATCGCCCACAAATCTCTACATAAAGCCCACAATTATTTTTACTTTGACTCTTTTACCCTTTTTCTAATTTTTGCCGAAACCGTAATTCACTCTCACGAAGAATGTGGAGCTGGAGTGGATCGCCGAGGGACACCGGAGAGCCGTCATCGTCGCCGGAAAGCGAGATAATCCGGGGAAAAATTACGAAACGTAGGGGTGGCGTCTGGCCGGAACGCCACTACCGTGGCGGTGGCGTCTAGCCGGGACGCCGCAACCGTGGCAGTGGCGCCTGGCCAGGACGCCGCAACCGTGGCAGTGGCGCCTGGCCAGGACGCCGCAACCGTGGCAGTGGCGCCTGGCCAGGACGCCGCAACTGTGGCAGTGGCGCCTGGCCAAGACGCCGCCACCGTGGCTGTGGCGCATGGTCAGGACGCCGCCACCATGGCGGCGGCTTCCTGGCCAGACGCCACTCCTACTTTTTGTAATTTTTTTTTAATTTATTTATTTATTTATTTATTTTTGTAATTTTATTTTAACTTTTTGTAATTTTTTATTTTTTTATTTTTTTTCTGTTTTTTTTGTAATTTTATTTAAACTTTTTTTTTAAATTTTATTTAAATTTTTTATTTTTAATTTTATTTAAACTTTTTGTAATTTTTTTTTAATTTTATTTCAAGTTTTTTTTTTTGTGGTTTTTTAACTTTGATAAATTTGAAATTAAATATGCGTTAATAAGTTCAAAAAAAAATAATCGTTTTATTCTGAAATTATGTTTTAAATATTTTGAATTTATATGAAGAGGCGGTTTTCAAAAACAAAATATATTACACATAAAAACTTAACACATAAAAAAAATTAACACAACAAAGTAACACATAAAACAAAAAATTTAAACATTAACACAAAAAAATTATGTTATTCAACAAATAAATATATTACACATAATGTAAAAAATTTAAACACTATTTATTAACACAAAAAATTACCACATACAAAAAAATTAATACATATGAAAAATTAACACATAAAACAAAAAAATTAAACATTAACACAAAAAATTAAACATTAACACAACAAATTCTGATTTTCAAAAAATATATATATATATATTAGAAATAAAAACATTAACACATAAAATTAATTAACACATTAAACAAATTAACACATAAAACAAAAATATTAAACATTAACAAAAGAATTCTGATTTTCCAAAAAAAAAAAAAAATATTAGACAAAAAAAAAAATCGGAAGTGGTGGGGCGCCTGGCCAAGACGCCCAGCCCCTGGTGGTGGCGTCTGCTCCGGCCGCCTGAACCAAGGGGCTGGCGTCTGGCCTGGACGCCCAGCCATGGCGGTGGCGCCTCTGGAAAACGCCACAACCGTGGCTAGGCGTCCAGGTCAGACGCCAGCCCCCTGGTTTTGGCGGCCGGAGCAGACGCCACCACCAGGGGCTGGATGTCCTGGCTAGGCGCCCCACCACTTCTGGTTTTTTTTTTTAAATTTTTTTTTTTTTTTTAAAAAACAAAACCTTGCCACCGTGAGCCGTCCTTCCCTCGCCGCTGTGGCCGCCAATTCCTTGCCTTGCTGCCTCGACATTGCCGTATTTTTGGGTGATTAGAGTGTGGGTATGGGTTAGATTTTTTTTAGGTCTAGGGCAATAAGGTAAATTCAATATAAATTTGTGGGCTTTATGTGGAGATTTGCGGGCGATGTTTAGCAATCCACTAATATTCCTGCCCATTAAGTGTAATGCATAATTTTAAATACTTATTTAGTTAATAAAAAGAAAATTGATACTAATTTAGCATTAAATTTCTAAACACTCATATGGTCTAACATGTAATTGTAATATACTCAGTTGTCTAATCGATTCATTCGTTATATTTCATATTTTATTTCCTATTGATTGATTTACTACTATGCAATTAGATTAGACCTGATTTAATTGTATGAGTTATGCAATATTGATTTGAGATTCGACAGATGAGAATTGATGTATAGGCTTAATTTCAATAGGCAGGTTAATTTATAAATGGTTAAGTCAAGATTCGAGAGATGCGATTTGATACCGCTAAATTAATTCTGTAATTGTAATACGTAGCGAAAGCCCTTTATGATCTAATTGATTGATGCATTGGTGATTGATTATTGTGTTTTACCCTAGAATATTATTTATTGGTGAACCTACACCCTAGGCTTCGATTTATTGATTTCCCCTTAATTTTATTTGCTTTAGTTTATTTTATTCTCCTTAGTTTAATTCTCATAAAAACAACATGGTTACTTAATAATTTAGATTATATTAATTATTTAGGAATAGAAAGACATTGTTTCCCTGTGGATTCGACCCTACTTCCCTATCTACTTTAGTTAGAGGACTTAGGTAATTCTTTTGATTAGGTGATACGACTAGATCTTGTCATGAAACCCTAGAAGCATGATCTCCCATATCCCAATAGATACCCCATTATTCTCACTTCTCTCTACTTTCTCCCTCTAAAATTCCGTTGTCGATCACCAACTTGATTGTCGGAGGCTGATCCCCAATAAGCTAGAGATTCGTTGTTTTGTAGGTGTTCAGGCTGTACGATTGCTGCATTCCGGATCTGTCTCCCGAGGAAATCCATACTCCTCAACCGGGTTCCAAAAATCCCCGAAACAAAACTCATAGAAAGTATTTATAATATAAGCTGATAAAAATAAAGTATAACAAGAGAAAATAAAACAAAGAAATAGATATAGAATGAAAATAAACAGGGAAAATGAATAAAAAAAATAAAATCTATTAAGTCATAAAAAAGTGGAAATGGATTTTTTTTTTTTTGAAACCAAGTGGAAAGGGATTTTACTATAGAAATAGAAAGGTACATTTACGAATTTGCTCTTCTCATAGTAAATTTACAAAATTGCTCTTTTTCTTTGTCAGCTGCTATGATTTTGCACTTCTTTTCCTAATTGCCTCTTTTCTTTGCCACCTAAGCTTAGGACCTATTTCACAGGCAGTGTTTTAGGTAGCGATTAGCGTTAAAATCAAATCAAAACACTAGTAGGTAGGAAAGAAATAAGAGTGTTTGGTAGAATAGCATTTTATGTAGTGGTTAGTGGTAGAGGTAGCGGTAGCGTTTTTAATTTGTAGCTTTTCTAAAACGTTAATCGTGTTAGTTAATGCAAAAGCAATCGTCCAAAAGATTCATGGAATATATAATTGTTTAATTTGTGAAGAATGTTGTGATTTTCTTGCAAATCTTAAAGATGCATGGAGTTTCTTAGAAACCTACACTATCCTACAATTATTATTAATTATTGTGATTTTTGCCTATGGATTTTTACCTTTCATGGGTGTGTGTGTGGTTTTTTTTTATTTTTTTTATTTTATATATATATATATATATATATATATATATATATATATTTATTTATTTATTTATTTATTTCAGGCTTTAAGGGTTTAGATTATTAGGATAGTTATTTGTTTGATTTAGTTATGTTAAGATGGAATTAGTAGTTGGTTACAAATATGATTAGAGGATAAATTAAGATTCTTAGTTTTCTATCTTATCTTAGTGTTATGATTATTAGTAGGGATGTCAATGGGGCGTGTCTAGTAGGAGAGCCGCCCCATCCCCGCCCTGGTGGGGCGGGGATGGATCTAGCTTTAGCGTGTCGCGGGGCGGGGATGGGTCTAAAATCCATACCCGCCATGGGTGATTATTGTGTTTTACCCTGGATTATTATTTATTGGTGAACCTACACCCTAGGCTTTGATTTATTGATTTTCCCTTAATTTTATTTGCTTTAGTTTATTTTATTCTCCTTAGTTTAATTCTCATAAAAACAACTTGGTTACTTAATAATTTAGATTATATTAATTATTTAGGAATAGAAAGACATTGTTTCCCTGTGGATTCGACCCTACTTCCCTATCTACTTTAGTTAGAGGACTTAGGTAATTCTTTTGATTAGGTGATACGACTAGATCTTGTCATGAAACCCTAGAAGCATGATATCCCATATCCCAATAGATACCCCATTGTTCTCACTTCTCTCTACTTTCTCCCTATAAAGTTCCGTTGTTGGTCACCAACTTGATCGTCGGAGGTAGATATCTAGTAAATCGGAGATTCATATTTCATATTTTAGCAATCAGACCCAATAAGAGCCATGGATACCAATTAGACCCAAGAGAGGCGCATTTGACTGCGGCCAAGAATATCTTAAAGTACCTGAAAAGGAACAAGGAAAAATTTCT